GGGGGGAGGGGGGGGGGAAGTCCCCGACCGAACCGACCGGACCAAGGTGGATTAAGGGACGGTGGCGGCACTCCGGGCCGGCCCCATAGGCGCGCGAGCGACCGAATCTGTCCCCGTCCGGCTGCAGCGCGGCGAGCCTACCTCCCAGGGCTGTAGGCCGGCGGCGCGCCGGCGCGCTATAGGGCGCTCGGGGTTTTTCGGCCCTAGCGCCTTTCCCATTGATTTTAGAGGGTGGATCAAAGCGAGGCGATTAAAGGGCATGATGTAAGCTATCGAATGAGCACAAGCCGAAGTCTGTGCGATAATTCTGAGAGGATTGCCAGCGAAATTAGTTTGGCGCCGGAACGCGCGCTTGGGTAACTTCGCTCCTGGCGCCTCACCCGTTGGTTTTAGACGAAATTACATCCTCTAAGCAATTAAAGAACATAGAAAAACCTTTAAAATGAGCTATCATTGAGGTCGATACGATCACTCTGTGAGCTGTGACATAGGAATTAGTGTCGCGCCCGGCCGCCGCGGAGCGAGATTCCGTCGCGCGGTCGGCTATTTTCGCCTCTGGCTCCTTTCCTATTCATTTCAGCACGAAAATGGTAGGGAACGAAGATGAAGAGGACGAAATAATCTTTCGAACGAGCCTATACCGAAGTCGGTATCATAAGTGTGTCAGACGCAGTGTCGCCGTATTGAAATAAGAGCTCGTTTGTTGCCGGTCCCGGCCCCCGGTTTCAACAACAACATTCGCAGCCCAGCTGACTTTGGTGGCTGAGACTGAAGTGACCCGTGTAAAAAAGTCAGTCAAAAGTGAGTCAAAACTGGATTAAAAATTGAAGGACGAATTTAAGACGAGTTGTCATCGACCCTCCTCACGCTTTTCGACGATTGTCGAACGAGAATCAGACCGAGGGAAAAATCGCTTGCGAAATAGTTCGTACACCTTCCCTCGAAATAAATGCGGAAATAGCTCGAAAAAATGTGAAATAAACAAAGAACAACGGCAGTTCTCCCTGAACCATTCCTCCCATGCACTGGCTGACGCCGACGAAGTTCTTGAACTGGCCGCCAGGGTGGTCGACCCCTAGTGTCGGGTCCGGGAACTTCGTCCGCGTCGGCCAATCAGCGCAAAGGAGGAAAGGGTGCAGGCTGGTACAGGCATGTTCTTTGAACATACTTATCGTATCGACTTCGGTATAGGCTCGTTCGAAAGATTATTTCGTCCTCTTCATCTTCATTCCCTACCATTTTCGTGCTGAAATGAATAGGAAAGGAGCCAGAGGCGAAAATAGCCGATCGCGCGACGGAATCTCGCTCCGCGGCGGCCGGGCGCGACACTAATTCCTATGTCGCAGCTCACAGAGTGATCGTATCGACCTCGGTCATAACTCATTTTAAAGGTTTTTTTATGTTCTTTAATTGCTTAGAGGATGTAATTTCGTCTAAAACCAACGGGTGAGGCGCCAGGAGCGAAGTTATCCAAGCGCGCGTTCCGGCGCCAAACTAATTTCGCTGGCAATCCTCTCAGAATTATCGCACAGACTTCGGCTTGTGCTCATTCGATAGCTTACATCATGCCCTTTAATCGCCTCGCTTTGATCCACCCTCTAAAATCAATGGGAAAGGCGCTAGGGCCGAAAAACCCCGAGCGCCCTATAGCGCGCCGGCGCGCCGCCGGCCTACAGCCCTGGGAGGTAGGCTCGCCGCGCAGCAGCCGGACGGGGACAGATTCGGTACGCGCTCACGAACTGAGTGCCGCCACCGTCCCTTAATCCACCTTGGACCGGACATTCGGTCGGTCGGCTGGTGCGGCATTGCAAAAGTGGGTTTCTGTCCAGGTAGCTGTTAAAAAAATTACATTGCATTGTATGTTTAAAAATAAATCATTATTGGTTATCAACCTACATTAAGCAAGGAAAAAGATCTTTTTAAACAGCAAATAAAACCTGCCCCAAAATGTAGCAGAGATTATTTAAGTATACTTCAAACTGACAAAATTCTGATCACAAAAGACCCAGCACTAATGTTGTGTCTCAGAAATAATAATGTAATGCCCTGAATAAAGATACCATTTTGTAGTTGTCTTGCAGGATGATAGAAATCAGAACGTTTGAATCAAAATGACATCAGCAGGTGTCAAACGAACTACAGTTTGACACACACTGGGCAAGAGAAAGTGGGACACTTAGCTCAGTGACTCTCAAGTCTGACAAGGGAATTCGGCAACTAGAGTTTGGGATGATATATTCAGAAGCGAACTGGCCCGGGCGGGAAGGCGGGAAACCCCTAATAAGGTATCATTTCGTGCCCTTCGAGCTTGGGCCCCTGTATATAGGCAATTTGTCCCTGTATGTAGACAAATTCCCGCCTGGGCCCCGGCCCCAAGTCCGCCTCTGGATATATTTAACAAATTATGTACTGTCACTATTGCATTTAAAAAAATGACCTTTGTTTTGGGAGAAAGACCACGTTAAATTGGCTAGATAATATGACTTAAATTTGACATTATATTGATGCATTTATTACAAATCTTAGCTACTTGGGTGATTACAATTCACCTTGAATGTATTTCAAGTCTTTAGATGTAACAAAGCCTCTCTCTACAGAACACTTAAACGGATCACATGTAAATTAAAAATATTCAGTTGCATTACTAAACACATTTTTTGGTTTCCATGATGAACATATTCAAACACTGCAGCAGCAATAAACTTAACAAAATTTAACAAGAACAAAATAAATTTATGGCTTTTTTCAGTTAGCCAATTGGGCAAGGTACAGCTCTCGTTTTTTATTCAGATTTAGGACAAAGTCTTCAGTTGTGATACTTTGATGTAATCCATCACATTCATTTTCTAAATGCTGAACATGTTTCAAGTTCTGGTGGCAACGCTGGTAGTAAAAGACAGCCGACAAAAAGTCCCACACGGTGAAATCCGGCCAGAGCACATTAGAAAAATAAACACAGCTGCATGACACCTAAAAACAAGGGAGAAGAAAGCAAAAAATTACTTTTGTGGTAAAATGGACCCTCGTTCTGTACAATGTCCTTAAAATTATTGGATCCACATCTCAGAATATAGAATATCGTCAAACATAACACTTATTACCATTTAAAACTCCATTTTTTAAGTAATGAAAAGAGAGACAACTACAAAAACACTGGCTCCTTGGCATGAGGACTTAGACTGCAAACCCTCAATTTTTTTGTAAAGAGTTCTCAAAATAATACTTAGCATGAAAAAGTTAATTGTTTAAAGTGACAGCAAGGTTCACAAGTTTGGAAAGTATTAATTTTCTGTTTGTAGCTGTTGTGTCTTCTGAAATTAAAATGTCCACCGATAAGCTGGGTTAGGGACTTAGCACAAAAATCAGCAAAATATGTTGAGTGTTCTCAAAAATATCCTATGAAACTCAGAAAATAGTTCATACTTTGAAGAAACACCAGCATTTCGAGTTTCAAATGGTATAAGTGTTATGTTTGTAGGTATTCTGTGTTCTGAGATGAACATGGAATCATGTTTGGTGTTACACTGCACTGAGAACAATACTCCTTCTTCCACCACTGAGAAGGTGTAGGTTGGTGGTAAAGAATGAGTTAAAAAAGTATAGTAATGAATGGTGGTATTGTAGGTATGAAAATTATAGTTCAAATACATTGCTTTTCTGAAATAAAAATGAAAGGGAATCTCACCTGCCATAGTAAAAAATCACTAAGACGAACCTCTCCAGAGGTTCGAATTAGAAGATCAGGAATAGGAGAATGATTGGTGTAAAAGGTTTTTGATAAGAGATCTTGAGTTATATCTACTGTTGATAAGACCCCATCAGCTACACCATGTACTGTTTGTTTAACACCTTGCATAATTTCTTCTCTTCCTGAAATGTAACATTAAAAAATCTTAGAAAAATGTTTTAGCAAGATAAAACATTACGATGAGAAGGGGTGCATACCTGTGTAAGCAAAAGCAATATTTAGAATAGCTTTACTATTATCTTTAGTCATTAGCATTGCTTTGGCCATTAATCTCCGTAGATCTATAGGTAACAGGTCAAGATTCCCAATAACTCTGATGTGCACTCCATGTTCAGTAAGTTTGTCTCTGTAAAATTTCCAAAGAGAAATGTTACAATTTTTGCCAGTAATCAATTCATTCAAACATACAGAAAATGTGTCTTACTTCTCTTCCAGAAGACGTTGAAACTTTTCCGTGGCTAAATCCATGAGTCCATCAACTTCGTCTTGGGTTCTCTTAAAATTTTCTATACTGAATGCATAAACTGTTACTTCCTTGATTCCTAGTTCTAAGCACCAATTGAGAGTTTCTGATAACCTATCGAACCTGTTACAAAAATGAGTATAAAAATCCATCAATGGAACGGAGAGAATAATAGACGAAGTCGAAACTTCTATGAGTGAGTATGTAGTAAATGGCAAATAGTAAATGCAATAAATGTGGAAATTACCCTTTTAAATGCCCTTCTATTTTCTGAACATTATGCTTCTTGGCAAATCTTCGATTGCCATCCATTATAAAAGCTACATGTTTAGGAATACGTCCACTTCCTATGATTCGGACACCTAGCTTCTGCATCCATGACAATCCATGATCACTTATCCATGACATTGTAAAATTATGGTACCTCTGGAAACAATTACGTAGTATTTACAAATATAGCATTTACAAACCAATAAATGAGAGCATGATAGAAAACTCGAAACAATTTTTTTTTTGAGAAAGTCAAAAGTATTTCATAAGATTGTTTGAGTACTAATCATCATAGTATTAGTCTACTCCACGTCAGCGGGTAACAATCAAGTAAACAACAGGAAAACCTAACCTGGAACCAGGCAGTTAAAATATGAAGATGTTCAAGTAAAATGTTATCGGCTTTCTACTTACAATGTTGCTGTGCAAAAACCACCAGAATTGTTTATTTGATTGTTATTTTACGCTGACTGAGGTTTATTGTTTGTAAATAAATATTGCTGAGTGCTTCCTGGCTACTGTAAGAAAATAGTTCTCGATTCCATAGCAGACGCCACGACACGACGCGCAGTGGAGTGGTTGCAAACTCTCAGCTGACAAGCAGTCATGTGCCTAGCATGATCATCATTTTTCTATATATTTCCGTACACTACATCACTTAAAAGTTGATAACACACCTGACGATTTTATAGCTTGATAGTGGGTATATGATTTGAAAATAGTAATAATTAAGAAATGATCAGAAGTATATCAAAGCCGGTGGGGGACATTATTCTTTGAGTTGAGGGATGAATGGAGGCGCAGCAGACCGGAGCGGACACTTGTCGCCACACTTATTTAAATGGACAGTTACATTTAAAAAAAAATACAAGGAAACTGATTAAGTGTGAACTAGAATTGTTCTTAGCAACTTGCTTGGGATCTATTATCTGGCCCAAACAACCATTCGACCGGCTACCGGCTTAGGTCGACTGGACTACTTTCTCATTTTCGCGGATGAATAAAGCGAAACCCCAGCTCAAGCGCGAGTGTTGTGGAGAGAAATAGCACTTACTGCCGATGGTAACATGATCGATCAAAAATACAGTCTGTTATCCAGAAGTTTTGTTTTGTATGATTGGACTGAATAAAACAATATTTGACGTACAATGGCTTTAAGCGATTCTAGTTCTCAGGGCGTGGATACCAGAGGTATGTCGAACTGCATCCAGTCGGAGCAGCGAGTATGAGAGAGTAGAGGTTGGAATAGTACTTTTAATGACCGTTAACTTCTTCCAGAGTTATATTTTCTAATCACCAAGTTTTTGGCTGCCGGTCCGTGTCGCGAAGCTGCAGAGGTAAGTTCCAACTTCGATTTGAATTGTTTGTTTTGATCGTCAACGATCTTGTAATGTGGGACGAACTTTGTCTGTTGCAGGTCTTGAGGCGCGAGACAGGACTTCATGGAGTGAGTAGCTCGAGCTTGTTTACGTTTGTTTATAGTTCTAGTGAACTACTGTCTCATTGAAACACGTGGTTTAGGTCTGTCAGAGAGATGTTAGTGGGGTCAATACTCCTTGACCCATTCTGTCATGTCCTTGTTCTGTTACAGCTGTTACCTAAGAGAATTGATTGGGAGGGAGGCGAAAATGATCAATCATTTGACGAATTGGTAAGCTCAAATTGTATTCTTTATAGTCTGTGAACTAATTACTATACGATAATTATCATTATTTGTGCACTGACGGTACTTAAACGAGTTATAGAATATTTTTAGAAATGGAATCGTCCCTCTTCAATGTTTTGACCATATCAATATTAGTTTTTCTCATTATTATTATTATTGCTTTTACATAACTATTCGATAATTTCTGCCAGATTAATATCAATTTCAATTGTTTTTGCATTCCTCTCCCTTCCTCTAGTGCGTCGTTATGACGTTATCTCGGTCGCAGTTCCGTCAACCAATCAGAAGCAAGGTTGTTGAAGACGTTTTGTTTTCTGCTCTGTGATTGGTGGGATCTGTCGGCGTGACATTATTTCAACATTTCGTCCCGTGTTTGGACAAAAAA